ATAAAGCTTAGGCTCCTATGAAAGTTGTAGGCCTATGTCTTACCTTTTCATCCATATAAAGTAGTCCTAAATCCGAGATCTATAGCTCCAGATATGACCCAATTACCGAATAGTGTTCCGGTTTGGATTGCACGAGCATCTCTTTTCTAAATTTGGCTATCTCTTTGTCCTTTTAATTGCAATTCTTAAAGTCACCAATCGATCCTTTCATTTATGTGATAGGCCTGCATTTAAAATGAACATTAACCACAAATTAAAGGTATCTTATATTATCAGAAATGTTATTATAAAACATGCTTTAGTTAATGAGTTATTGATACTTCAAGTGCAAAATGATCATATAAAACCTTGATAAAAATGCACTTTTAAGTACTAATAAAAAAAAAAGAAGGTGAAATTGAAGAAATTAGAAGTTTGAAAGTCAATTGAGGACAAAATTGAAAATATTCAAGACCAAGGACCAAGGACCAAGATGAAAAACACGTTGAAACCATTGATTACTTTTGAAACTTGACAATGGTGAAATTGAATTGATTCTTAGAATCAAAATTGAACTAAGGACCTAATTGAATAAATCAAAAGGTTGAGGGTTGTTATTGAAAGAGGAGTTTTAAACCTAATTTAAACCTAAAGAGCTAAAACAATGCCATTTTCATTTAAATGTAATGATACGTTTTGTATCAAACACTGAATAAAAGAGAAACAATGTTGTTTTGAAGGGTATTGTTCATTGTCTTGTACCAAAACAAGTAGAGACAACTTGCTTAGGAAGGGGTTTTGGGCACCATTTTTCCTCTTTAGTGTAATCCTAATTACCAAAAAAGCTTTCTCTCCCTGATCTTTTTATGAAGGAGGATCTCACCAACCTTGTTTCAGTCCTGCCCCTTCTTTGATATATCTGCAAAGCTAGTCCAAAAACCTCTACAGAACTAGCCTTTCCAACAATTCTTTGGGTTCTAATTTTTTACATCAAGGGTTAAGGAGGTTTGAGAGGGATGAATGGTTATGATGCATCTCCACATGATGTCCCTCACCC